ACACCTTCTCATTGTGCCAAGATGGAAAATCCATTCAGTCAGTCGCCAACCATTTTTTACAGCACTGCATCTCAATTATGGAATTCTCTTCCAGAGAACATTAAACTGTCGCCAAATATACAGATTATTATGAAAAGACTGAAAACACACCGTTTCTCAATCGCATTTTCCAAGCACCACTGATCATTAAGCTTGTGAATGTTTGCATCTATCTATCTCTAATATAAGAATGCACAAAATTTGTTGCTATATTATGATTATTACATGTTTGGAATTATTCGGGATTTTCAGTAGCCCACAGTGTATGCATTTCATTATGGTCTCACTGCTACAATACCTGCCATAATAATAGAAAATAAATTCTATTGTATTATATGTTAATGATACATTTAAATATTTACTTTAATTGTATTTGTATACTTATCCCATATCATTAATCACTCAGAGGATAATTCATCTCTTTACAATGGTACAAAAGGCAAAAAAAACAAAAAAACAATAAACACAAAAACAATGTAATGTGTAAAGCTTAAAAACTGAATCAATTAGATGTAGTTAGATGTTAATCAAAAGTATTGATGGAAAATTTCCTACATAATTAGCCAATTTGATGACATAACAAAACTGAACTAAATTTGTCCATGGCAATTTCATTCTATTATGAAGCAAGCGTGTCTTGAGGCAATAACTAAGATGAGCAGAAAAGAAAAATCACCTGGTTACAGAAAACGGCTTATCATACCTTATTATTGATGGCATATCCTGGAAAAAATTAATAATTCTTTTATTTATTTAAGCATATCGGTCAATGATAGCCAGTAGCGATATCAGTCACTGTCTTAAATAATAAAGTGGCAATCCATCGTGCAAGATAAACATTCACTTGATGGTCTACATAAAACAGTCTCATTAGGAGGCTTAGGGAATGGAGTTGTTTTTGGTTGTAAGGAAAATTATTGTCTCTTGACAGAACTTGAAGGCTGGGTTTCCATAAAATTGCTACAACGCAATCCCCAATTTCCACCGAAATATTATCAGTATCGATGAAAGGAATCGGCAAGATTGTGTGGCGATTTTATGGGAACAAGACTGAATATTTTAGAACCCTGGAATGGCATTGGCCTATCCAGGATTTTGAAACAGGGGTTGCTGGGTACAAATATTACATCCAATGAACTTTAAGTAAGGCACTAAAATATCAATGGCTATGACTGTACCATAAATTAGAAATTTCTTTGCCAATTAATTCCATTAATTTACTATTGTTTTTTTTTTCACTTTTGAACAAAAAGGGGTCCTCAGGCACCGTAACCTCCTCCCCCTACCGGTTGCACCACTCTGGATGGGAAAGAAGCATCTTATCCACTGAGTTACAGCTCCAGTCTTCTTAATTAAATTATATAATAGACTTAATGATAATAAGAGTAGTGGTCACTGGTAATAGTATAGTTTTTAATATAAATAATAATAAAAATATAAAGTAAGTAGTAATTTAAAGTAATGTCATGTTTATGATGTTTTATGTCAGTATTCAACATAAAAAATATTGTAATTAAAAAAAAACATTAAATAAAATATCAAAATTTAGTAGAATTTCTTCTGATAAATGTAAATAGTTTATTAAATTACAATAAAAATATACATTTTTCATTTCCAAATGATAACATTTTTTTTTCAAGGATTCTCATACTGGCTGTCAATTCCATCAAACGTCCAAAATATGATCATTTTTCGAATTAAAAAGCAAATGTTTATAATTTTGAATTTTGTAATGATCTAGATTTCGTTCTGTTATTTCTCATGTAACATGCCCTACTTTATAACATATGAAATATTTTTTGGAACGGTATTAATGATTATGGTTAGTGAGCTCAGACTTTTTCGAATCAGGTAGGTTTTCGATAAAACTATTTTTAAACACTCAGCATAATGACTGGAGGTGCAAGTTAGAAACACAGTACTATTAAGTAATATCTTCTTATATACAATATTATAAATGGTATGAAAAGAAAATGGATGTAATAAAGAAACGGCATTGGTAACCAGGGACTGCATCACTTACTCGCTCTGCAGCAATCACAGATAAAAAGGAATTTGTATAGTCTGTGTCATTCTCTAAAAAAGTATGAAACAAGTACTGTTAATTACCATCATAAAGAGTACAGCATGAATGTTGAACCGGTCTTTCAAATACTTTACTCAAAATATTATGCGTGCATCAGGAATCGCTGCATATTTTGTTCCAGATTGATGCATCACAAAAAATAACTTGAAGAAGAGAATGAACATTAATATTTACATTGCAAACATTTTAAAAAGATTTATGATATTTACTTATCAACCTTTTTGTTTTTGTCTGGATATGTGGTGGTATAGTTTAATCATTTTAACTAAAATATCTGGTTCACATACTTTGTAGGGATATGATCAAGTAATTACTTATTATCATATCTAGAAGGAAGGGGGATTGGCAATCAAGTTAATGTTTGAAATTGAATTTCTGTTAAATTAGAAGAACATCAACAAGAATCATGTTATGCTTTCTTAGTCAATAATAAATCTCAAATATGTAATCCTAGTGAATTATTTCTTAGAAATTGATTTTTTTTGTTGGTATTTTAAATTCATAACCATTACTATCTGAAAAATATACATTAAACTTCAGAAACAATGAAACCCAATGTTTGTCAAAATATGACTTCATAAAAATTTTCTTAAAGTCAGACTCTGGAGGCAAAACAAAATTTGATATGTTGTAGAACTGATTTTTCTAAGTCAGAAAAAAGTTGTTTGACGAAAAACTGGGGAATGGTGAACGAGATACAGATTTTTGAATATTTAAAAACTGGGGGAAAAAGGGACGTAACCACCCATTTTTACACATTTTTCCCCCAGTTTTTAAATATTCGAAAATCTGTATCTCATTCACCATTGCTTAGTTTTTGATCAAACTACTTTTTTCTGTCTTAGAAAAATCAGTTCTACAACATATTAAAAATTTTTTTTCCTCCGGAGCCTGACTTTAAATATATGAAAGTGGCCTGATGTACAACCCAAGTCATCTTGTCACAACACCACAACTCATCCTACAAAGTAGTGTTGCTACTTGGTGTCATCTTCTTGTGCTTCATTGTCTAGGGAAACAGTTTCAATTACTTCAATTACTGCAAATATAATTAAACTAAATTTTTTCAGTCATTTATCTTCAAGAATATTGTCTAGTCTTTTCCTGTCCCTCCAAGCAATGACTATTAAATTATTTTCAAGGGAATAAACAGATTTGTTATGTCAGCTCGTTCTGATTTCATGATCGGTATTTCAACAGTGCGTGTCATTGGTTATGCTGGTCTGGCATTGAGTGTCCAAGGCTATAAGCAATTTCATATATTTGATAATCCCACTGGGTAAAGGTCAGTAAGGAACCTAATAACACATCATTAATACTAGCATGGGATTTGAGCCTAGTATTTATGGTTGATAGGTTAATTCACTCAGACCAATAACATTTTACATTTAATTTTTTATGCAATATATCTATCTATAAAAACCCGAATGGGTGTAGATCAGTAATGTATTAGAATTGAAACTGAAATGTCATATGTTAAGGAGTTAATAATTACATGGGACTTCAACCTAAGATTTCTGGTTGAAAGGCTATAACACCTGTAAATGTAAAACTATTAGTATTTTTTATAGATTATATTCGATACAAATTTTACTTTTAAGATAGTGTCTCTATCTAATGGCAACCTGACAAATAGTTCTGATCCTATATTACCTTTAGCATATAAACATCCTGAGTCCTTTGATGGCTACAGTAATGTAGCATGTAGTTATGTTTTATTTTATTCAGTAAAGTTTATTAGCCTTTCAACTGCAACATTTGTTCTAGGAATTATTTTCCTTGCAATTTGACTGATGTATTAACATGAATATTAACATCCCTTATAGTCAAATTGTTGTACTTTAGTTTATGTTGAGATCAATCCATTATTGATGACCATCTTATGGAAGCTTAAAAAGTGCCACACCAGATGTCTAGATAATCATCTCGTCTTGTCAACATCCTATAGAAAAGATGATCAGATGACAAGATCCTGGATCTCATCATGTCTACATCCCTTAGTAAAGATGGTCATATGATGAGAAGAGATGATTAGATGATGAGAAGCTGGATTTCGTCATGTCTACATCCTATAGAAGAGATGATCATATGGGAGATCTTGGATCTTGTCATGTCTACCATCCTTTAGAAGAGATTAGCATATAGGGAGATCTTGGATCTCGTCATGTCTGCATCCTTTAGAAAAGGTAGTCACGTAGGTAGATCTTTGATCTCGTCATGGCGATATCCATTAGAAGAAATGATTAGATGAAGAAATTCTGGATCTTGTCATGCCGATATCCTTTAGAAGAGATGATAAGATGAAAAGATCCTGGATCTCGTCATGTCGACATCCTTTAGAAGAGATCATAAGATTTTGGATCTCATCATATCCAGGGTCTCTTCATCTAATCATCTCTTCTAAAGGATGTAGACATGCTGGGATCCAGGATCTCGCCATCTGATCATCTCTTCTACAGGATGTAGACATGACGAGATCCAGGATCTTGTCATCTAAATATCTGGGTGGCACTTTTAGGATTCCATACTATTTACTTAGGTAAACCCAATGAGACTTCTAGAAGACTTGTTAATATTCTTTTCATAATTATATGCCCATAAAGCTGGGCTCCGAAGGAAAATTTTTTAATTTTGAAAACTTGGGGAAAAGGGGGCATAACCACCCTGTTTTCCACCTTTTAAATATTCAAAAACCTGTGTCTCATTAACCGCTACCTTTTCCTCAAATATTCTTTTTGTGTCTTGGAAAAGTCAGTTCAACAACTTATCAAAACTGGTTGGTTACAATATCTTATTAATATGAAAGAAAATATTTAACAGCAATGAAAAGAAAAAAAAGAAATTATAATTAAATTATTTTATTTTTCTTCTCTAGTTGAGCGGTGAGATAGTGAATACTGGTCGCCATTTGCAGTTTGTTGCCGACGAGAATAGTGAAAAAGCTTTCAGAGTGTTCGGTGGTCCACTCCCATATACATACACCCTCACCACTATCAGGTTACATTTTGGAAATACGTCACAGCGTGGATCAGAGCACCTTGTAAATGGCAAAGCGTTCCCAGGAGAGGTAGGTGATGCTTAATGCTTGTTAAAAATGGAAACATCCTGATCTGCTTGCAGTGTACCTTTTGCTGGAGTGTCAATCAATCTTAACAACTGACAAATGAGAGCAGGTCTAGGAATATGCACAAATGTGTGCATATGTTTTTACATTGTTTTTTTCAGGGACCTTGGCAACATTATCCAAGGGTGGGACTTAGTGTATAGGTCCATTTATTTCAAGATTCATTAATTTGTCGTCATCTTTCTTCTTTCTTTCTTTATTCAACATCAAAATCGCAGTCGAGGACTGAATTAAATGATACAATAATACAGAACAATAATATAAAAACATCAAAGGAAAGTAATATAAAAACATTGAAGGATTAATTATAAATAAACAACACACAAACAGCACAGACATTCAGAAAAAGATTAAAAACATGAAAAATTGCATTAATTACAAATTACTATTAAATTTTTAAATTTTATCAATACAAATTCGCAATCAAGGCAGAATAAATTGAAATTTACAAAATTAAGGCAAGTAGGCAAATATAAAAACATCAAAACATCAATTAACAACGGGCACAAGACATAAAAAAGGAGCTTTTGATTTGTGCGACGACATGACGCTAGCACGGAATCACTCATGCGTGACCGTCCTACCTGTCATCCTACGTTCTCTGCATACGTAGATTTTGCCAAATTGCGTTCTAGAATCTACTTGACGAGGTGACCTTTACGTTCTCACTTGCGCAGATGACTTTTAGTGACGTCATTACTTTCTACGTCCTACCGTCGTCGTGCAATTGAAGGCTCCCTATTACAAGGGTGATAGGAGTCTCTTGGAAATTTTCACAGTCAACTGCACTCATGCAAGCAGTGTTGTTTCTGGGAATCTTGAAATAGGGGCTGATGGGGGTGCGAAGGTGAAGTAGAGAGGAGCTTAATGATTAAGTGAAAGAGTGCTAGCTTGCAAAGTAAGGTGATATGAGGAGGGTTTTTATCTACTTGAGTATGATTTTTTTTTTTTGCCTTAAACATATTTAATGGGGTTGGGGAACAGGGAGAGGTGCTTTAGCTTTTTTAAGGAGAATGTGAACCCACGCCCTCCCCTAGATGCGTCACTTTGCGCAAAAATAACCAATCTCAAATTTTATTCATATGGCAATAAAGCATATTCAAAATATGTTTAAAAAATCTTCTCAAAAAACTCTGATTTATTTTTATGAATATATACCACCATATTTACCTATTAATACGATGGCGTCTGAACGATCAGCAAATTGTTGCAGCTTGTTAGACCCCAATTATGCGAAAAGCTAAACTTGTAATATTTTCCCGCAATAATAATAACTCAGCCTATATTTCTGATTAGGTAAATTCCAATTTAATGTGAATATGTATTAAATATTCTCCAGGGTGCTTATCTAACACTAAGTTAATTGTAATCCTTGGGTTATTCAGTTCTAGTAGTGTATGTCAACAACATAATGTTGGTAATAATTTCACAATTAAAAACGTCCTTTTGAACGCATAGTAGTACAGTCTAGGTCATTACACTTTGTATAATCTCCATCCATACTATCAAATTTTCTTTGACCAAAAAAAAATAAAACCCTGTTGTATGCCCATATATAGTCATGTGGTATGCCTATATATGGTTATGATGTGATGTCATCATGACCATATTTAGGCATATTATGTTTTTGTCAAATATCATTTGATAGTTGGGTCAGGGCAAAAATGTTGTGTGCCCATATATACAGATTGTAGTCATATTGTGATGTCATTGTGACCATATATAAGCATGTCGCATGATTTTGAATATTCACAAAAATGTGTGTACTTAAAGCCCCATTCCCGGCAAAATTTCACTAAAAACTGACTTTTTTTTTAGAAAATATGCATTTGCATTACTCCAATTATTATAATTCATGGAAAAATATATATATGTATATGAACTAAAACATTTTCCAAGGAAATTATGGAGAGAATACAAGATATTTTCTTATACCAATTAACACTATTGCTGTTTCATCTAATTTTAGTGTTTTATAAATATTCTTATGTTTTGAAAAAATGATGATTCATGAATCTGCTTTCAAAACCATGCGACCTATCTCCTTTTAGTGGTCATATTCTTTTTTTTAATCAAAACTAATCGCGACGTTCACATACTAGAGGGTAAGTGAGTGAAGTGAGCGCACCCTCTAGTAATAATAATTTTTAAAGCCAGGCTCCGGAGGTAAAAAAATGTTTGATATGTTGTAACTGATTTTTCTAAAACACAAAAAGCATATTTGACGAAAAACTTGGAAGCAGTTAATGAGATATATTTTTGAATATTTAAACACTGCCGAAAAGTGGGGCGTAACCACCCTTTTTCCCACCTTTCCAACAGTTTTTAAATATTCAAAAATCTGTATCTTATTAACTGCTCCCAAGTTTTTCGTCAGATATGGTTTTTGTGTCATAGAAACATCAAACATATAAAAAAAGTATAACCCAATATTTATGTTGTGCCAGTATCCATCAAAGAAACTCATAGTGCATAGTTTGAGGTGTGTGCATGAATTTTATAAAATAATAATTTAAAAAAAAATTTAACGCATCTTTTTTCATTATGTAATAATAATAATACAGGATAGGTGTAATAAATTAAAACTATACATGATTTTGCTGACGCAAATCCAGTTATTGTCTATTCTATCACGATAATAACAATTACTATCAACATTGCTTACTTGGACTCTAATTCAACCCTAGCCATCAGGCGCAAGCTCGATGGTCTAGAGGTATGATGCCAGGCTAGTGGTCTGGAGATCGTGGGTTTGAGTCCCACCCGAGTCTCCTGACGCAAATCCAGTTATTGTCTATTCCATCACGACAATAACAATTACTATCAATAGTACAAGAGTTTGTAATGTGCCTTTGATAAGACTTTGGAGTAGTGTACTCTACTCATTGTTGAATAAGAATGATAGTAAAAGAGAAGGAAAAGGAACTTGGCAAAATCACACTTTATAATTGAAGGTAAAAATTGGTGACACTGTTCTCTGTTACGATTGAGAGATACAACATTGAACATGCTTTGGTCAGACTAAGGAGGACAGGTAATTTTTGTTGCTAGATATAGAAACTAAGATTGCTGTTAGCATGAGAAATCTTAATTAAACATGATAACGCAAGACAGGAACAGAGGGGAAGACAGAAAATAAATCTCTGATCTTCTGGCACCGCATGTCAAACAAAACCTTGCAGCGACGGACTTGCAAGTCTTGCAAGTTGAACTTAAACATAAAAAAGTGAAATAATGTATAAATATTCAAGAAAACTGTTTTATCATCTGAATTAACAACCCAGTGGAAACAATTACAGTAACTTAACGATTGATTTTTACACAATAACTACTTTATGACAAGGATAAAAGTTTAATAGTGGTTAAATTAGGTCAAAGAAGTGTTGACCAGCCTGACAGAAAATCTGGAGGATTATTTTGGCAATTTACTGTTTTCTAAGGAAAAGGCTATAATTAATTTTTATCTCTTCATTGTTGTATCACAACTTCGTTCATTTAGGAGACAGCCTGTGTAGGATTTGAACAAGAACCACAGTGATCAGAAAGCAGGCACTAGATCATCATACTGTACCTCACTGCTTTTTATCTCTTCAGGGTTTTATCCACAACAGAAAATCCTTTATCATTGAGGAGATTTATTATTGAGCCTGTTTAGGAATTCAACCAGGACACCAAATATCAGAAGGCAGGTACAATGCTACCATGTCACAATTTATAAAGACACAACATTGAGCATTAGGCTCTATCCACCTAAAACACATGTGATATGCCCATATTTGGGTATAGTATGATGTCATCATGCCTATATTATATGGGCACATCACACAACTGTCACATGTCAACTACTAGATCAATAGTCAGTTAGGACGTGCTCTTTACAACAATAAAGAAAGAGTGATTCAATTAAATTTCAATTAAACAGGATGGAAACATTCCTTTGTATTGATCCTGAATCCCACAGGGTATTAATATTAACAGCATGTATTCAAATGTTTATTGCTGTAATTTCATCGGCGTGCAGTAATGATCGTCTTAGACTGATACCTGAGAATGCGTAAGGCGAAGCATTAGTGCTGTGCTGCGACACCAAGATCAAAGGATTAAGAAAAATCAAGGCGAAAGATGAAATGTATAAGAAATAAAGTTCAAATAATTTTGGGAATAGGTTTGTAAGTAAGAAAGACTATAGTTATACTGTATATATTTGATAATAAACTGTTTTACATATATTTTATTACAATGGAAAATATTTAAAAAGTGCAGTGTTTAGTATATTAATTAATATTTGGTATTCTAAGAAAATAAATACATTTGCCTGGAACAGTCAGTCAATTCATACCAAACATGTAGACATTATATTGTTGATGTCGATCATAATGTTGTTGATGATGTTGCCATCAATAAGCCCTATTTATAGTTAGTTCTGTTCGATTATAATACGACATCGAGTCATACAACAAGATAAACGTTTCCATGTTAAATCATTACGTCAAATGATAAGACATCTTGCAATGTTTTAGCAAAATTCTTCTGACGTAACTGTTGATGGTAGAGATTTTGTAAGCTTACAGTCACATGTAATAATGCGAGTTACAATATGTTTTCTAAGCATGTAATTTATTTGCAAAGAAAGAGAACAGATAGCCTATTAATAGTGAAATACTGTACCCAGTATCATATTGGTATTTTTTTCCCCTTTTGATTATTTAAAATATGGTAATAATACTGTAGGCAAGAATAACATCGTTCCTTTTTAAATTATTTATCCTGAAGGTGCTTAAAGTAAAAATTGTGTAAATTAGAAAAAACTATGTTTTTTATTAGTGTCTTACTGGTAATTAACTTATTTGCCAATTTACACACACAGTATTATTATACTACCATTGGAAAAACGGTATCTTTATTCAAATAATTTGTACATAAAACAGTATCTTGCAGAAATG